GTCCGGTATCCTATCTATGGACCGGTGACATCAGTCCGGTATGCTATCTATAGACTGGTGACGTCATTCCGGTATGCTATCTATACACTGGTGAGATCAGTCCGGTATGCTATCTATAGACCGGTGACGTCAGTCCGGTATGCTATTTATGGACCGGTGACATCAGTCCTGTATGCTATCTATGGACTGGTGATGTCAGTCCGTTATGCTATCTATAGACTGGTGACATCAGTCAAGTATGCTTATCTATGGACCGGTGACGTCAATCCGCTATGCTATCTATAGACTGGTGACATCAGTCCGGTATGCTATCTATAGACTGGTGACATCAGTCAAGTATGCTTATCTATGGACCGGTGACGTCAGTCCAGTATGCTATCTATGGATATGTGACATCAGTTCGCTAAGCTATCTATGGACTGGTGACATCAGTCCGGTATGCTATCTATGGACCGGTGACATCAGTCCGGTATGCTATCTATAGACCAGTGACATCAGTCCGGTATGCTATCTATAGACTGGTGACTTCATTCTGGTATGCTATCTATGGACCGGTGACGTCAATCCGGTATGCTACCTATGGACCGGTGACATCAGTCCCGTATGCTACCTGTGACATCAGTATGCTATTTATAGACTGGTGAAGTCAGTCCGGAATGCTATCTATGGACCAGTGACATCAGTCCGGTATGCTATCTATAGATTGGTGACATCAGATCGGTATGCTATCTATGGGCCGGTGATGTCAGTCCGTTATGCTATTTACGGACTAATGACATCAGTCCGGTCTGCTATCCATGGACCGGTGACATCAGTCCGGTATGCTATTTATGAACTGGTGACGTCAGTCCGGTATGCTTATCTATGGACCTGTGACATCAGTTCGCTATGCTATTTATGAACTGGTGACATCAGTCCGGTATGCTTATCTATGGACCTGTGACATTAGTTCGGTATGCTATCTATTGCTACCTATGAATGAGCTAATTGTCATAGCCCCATACCAGTCATCATGTTCAGTATTTCAGATGTGCATGAAGCCTTTTGGTGCCGCCCTGCCACCTCCAGGTCAGACATCGCCCTGTGCTGTGTGCGTTGCAGGTGGTTACTACCCGGTGACGATCGGTGACCTGTTCAACGGGCGGTACCACGTGGTCAGGAAACTGGGCTGGGGTCACTTCTCCACTGTCTGGCTCTGCTGGGACCTGCAGTACGTCTCATGTTGCCTTAAACGGCTGCGTC